ATCCTCTCAAAATATGACAACTTCGAAAGCTTATTTCAAAATCGTGGCACTTGATTAGCACATGACTTTAATTTTTCTATAAACTACTAACATTAGTCAACACAAATCGCCAATAATAGCTTTCTGATCTACCATTTGACAAAAATGACAAGCGCGCAAACTTTGTAAAATTTGAAAATGTGTCGAAATCGAGCATACTTTATCGGTAAACATAATTCTTGATATCAACAAATAAAACCACCTTACACTACACTGAATGAAGCTTGATTGTGTAAATATATGTCTTTCATAATTATTCTTTGGTTTTGCACTCGAATGAAATTGTTTGACTGTACAGTTTGGCTTCAAGGATAGTCACTCAATGCCAGTGTGTCCAGTGTGTTCGAATTCTGTGCGCCTCAATGCCATGAGTCCTGATTGTGACATACGAACTTCGCTCTGTTCGCTTTGTTTACCTCCTGTAAATAAAATGTCTCAAATTAGAAATTTCAGAATTAGTCATACTACAGACAATTTTCATACTACAATTTTCATTGGTTTGTTTACCTTAAACTGTTATATAAAGTTTCGTTTTATAGAACGTACGAATTAATCTCGGGGAAAACTCCTAACCAAAAGAAGTGTACTCGCTGAGCGTAAACATGTCAATCAAATGACGATGAAATGTTTCGTTGCTCTCTGATTTCCCTTTCTTTGTATTGCATTAAATACGAGGTTTTTGTGTTTACAATAATGGTGTTTTACTTTTACTACAGCCGCAATTTGTGATCACGCAACGTTAGGTAAACCTAAACGATTTCGAGAGACAGTAGATTTTATGTTGACAGATGAGAATGACGGTAAGCAAAAATGTAGAAGTGTTCCTTTTCTACTTCTGAGTGTGGAAAATTCCGAGACACAATAGACTGTTCTTCGAAGTTGCTGGCGTGTAAGATGAAATTAGTTATCACTTGCAAATTTGTCACCCTTTAAAGCTTGCCGGAAAGAAGAATATAAATTAATTCTAATTTTCAGAACCTTTCTAATTGTTACTGAAGAAAGGAATAACATTGATTAAATAACTGAGACGTTCAAATGGGTTACAGCTCTTTGCGCTGAATTGTTTTGTATTATATCAAAATATTCGCATATTTTTATACAATAAGAAATAATATAAATTCTTGAAGCATAGCCTTGAGCAAAGTGACCCAGGGTCGGCCTGAAAAAGTTGATTTTTTATACAGAACCGTGACTTACTTGAATTCTAGTTTCATTGATAATTGTTTCTAAACTTAGAGACAATTCAGGTTGCTAGAAAACTATACTGAGCGAAACTAACGAAATATTGATATTTGACATCACAGCGAGTATACATTTCTGATTTCTTTCGGCCAGGGCCCGGGGTTTTCCCCGAGATTTAATTCGTACATTCTAAGTTTCTAACGAAACTTTTATAAAACAGTTTAAAAACGATGAAAATTCTGTCTGTAGTATGACTAATTCTGAGTTTTCCAATTTCATTGAACATTGTTATTTGTTAAACAGGTAAAGGTATTTGTTAAAGAGGTAAACAAAGCGAACAGAGCGAAGATTGTATTGAATGTCACAATCAGGACTCGTGGCATTGAGGCGCGCAGAAGACACTGGACACACTGGCATTGAATGACTCTATCCGTGAAGCCAAACTGTACTCAAACAATTTGATTCAAGCGCCAAACCAAAGAATAATGATGAAAGACATATATTTACATAATCAAGCTTCATTCAGTGTAGTGTGAGTGTAAGGTAATTTTATCTGTTAATATCAATAATTATGCACCTATCAATGTTAACCCCGAGGGGGGGTCGGACAAAGGGTGGGGATTTGATCAATCAGTTTGTCCCGTGGGTCGGGATTTGGACTGACACTTTTTTTCTGAGTGGCCCGAGGGTGGGGATTTTTGGCAGATTAACACTGATCTCAGACGATATACTGAAGAAACCCGAACCAATTTTTGAACAAACTGAAGACTGGGCACTAGTTCATCGCTCGCAACCTCGTTCCCAGGCTCCTGGGAACAAGGTTGCATCGCTAGCCGTCTCGCGCGTGGTTTTTACAAGAACAAGACGCTCTATGGAGCGTTAACTCGCTTGGGCTGTACAAATACGCACATTAGTGTACATGATGCCAGATACAGTACATAGTTTCAATAGACCTTTCCTCAGTTAAGTGAAATTTTGATCTAGACTAGCGTGGACAGAAATTTCATCACAGCTTGACAGGGCCGCCGAAAGGGGGGCCGGGGGAGGGGGGCTGCAAATTTCCCCGGGCCACGAGGTTCTGGGGGCCCCTAGAAATTTTTTGTTGGGCACCGGTCATTTTTTGCGCGAAATATTTCCGTTTTTGGGTCACAATATCTGTTTTTTTCGGGCAAAGAACCGAAATTTGGTATGAAAAATTTGCAGTAATTTCCCACAAAAGCATTTACAACGTACTCGTCTGGAATTTTTTTTTTGAATAGGGGCCCCCTAAGGAAAATTTGCCCCGGGCCCCCGCCAAGCTCTCGGCGGCCCTGCAGCACAGAATAATGCACACAGAAGGTCGATTTGAGTAACCGCTGCCACACCATGATTCATCATCAAAATGCTGACGCCATGGTCCTAGCCAGTACGGGTTTGAGAGGCATTCCACCCTGGACGTCCACCATTTTGAATATTATCAGGGGGGTGAATGCCTCTCATACGCGCACTGGCTAGGACCATGGCGTCAGCATTTGATGACGAATTACGGGTTACGCCAAAATCATAGGAAAATCATAGGAAAAACAAAGAAGTCGGCCTTCTGTGTACGTTATTCTGTGCCTGCAGCTTGAAAGAGCATGTCAAAATTAGTCATATTTAAAATGCGGATAATATAGCCATGCGAAGTTTGCCGTTTTTCAGTCATTTTGTATTACAAATGAGAAATTGACCATACATGCATACATACATACAAAACTTTATTTAGACCACGCTAGCCTCAACAGCCGTTGGAAGGCTGGTTTCCATGAGGGGCGTGAAATTACCTATTTACAAAAAGTTAACTATATACAGGAAATACAAAATATAACAAAATAAATAAATACAATTGATTTTAGCTGCGCGATTATACACAAGCAAATTTCAACTCATTCTTTGTTTCAATATCGACTTGAAAGAGCTTAGAGATTCAGCAATTTTTGCCTCATGGGGAAGATTATTCCAATGCAAGGCACCATTATAACTGAAGCACCTCTTGCCGAATTCTTTTTTCGGCATAGGTGGTGCTAAATCAGTATCCGTATTTCTAAGATTGTAAGTATTATGTCTTTCATTATTAAAATGAAATGCTTCTTTAAGATTTGGTGCGGTGTGGCCATTCAGAACTTTATAGATGAAAATAGATTTAAGATAATTTCGGTTTTTTTCTAGAGGTTTCCAATTTTGATTATTGAGTAACTCAGATGACCGAATATCGTAAGTTGCCCCAGTAATTACTCTTGCAGCACGATTTTGGTATTTTTGCAACTTATCTTTGAGCCCAATTCCACAATTATCCCACAACGAGCTGCAATAATCGAAATAAGGCTGTATAATAGCATTATATAGCATTTTGGTTGTCGACAGTGGTACAAAAGGTTTAACACGTCTCATTGCACCAATACCGGCACCAACTTTAGAGCAGATTGAATCAATATGTTTATCCCAAGACAACCTTTCGTCCATAGTCACTCCAAGGCATGAATATTTATTAATCCTGGGTACTAGCTTATTATTAATTAAAATAGGATTACCAGATACTTTATTCTTAAGGTTATAGGGAGACCCAATGAACATATGTTTCGATTTACTGGGGTGGATTTGAAGTTTATTGTGTATCATCCATTTGCGTTTGTTTTCGAGATCAATATTTACCTTGTCGACAAGGTCGGCGCAGTCATTAGAAGATGCATAAATTTCCGTGTCATCAGCATAGAGTGAAGGAGTTAAGTGACTTAACGAGTCAGGCATATCATTTATGTATAATAAAAATAATAGAGGACCAAGGATGGACCCCTGTGGAACTCCGCATATTATTTTTTTTGGGCTCGATAGTTGTCCGTTTATAAGACATTGTTGAACCCTGTTATTCAGGTATGATTCGAACCATCTTAGTTGGTTTCCTGTTACTCCGAAAAAATTACGCATTTTATCAATCAGAATTTCATGATTTATGGAGTCGAAGGCTTTTCTAACATCAAGAAAGACTACACAATTTATTTGACCACTATCCATGTTTTTAAGTAAATTATCACACATTTGTATCAACGCAGACAGGGTTGAGTATTTAGGTCTAAACCCTGATTGGAATTTAGAAAGTAATGAGTTATTGGAAAGATAGCCATAAAGCTGTCGAAAAACCTCTCTCTCAAAAACTTTACTTACAATGGGGAGTATGGAAATTGGCCTATAATTTTCACATTTCCGTCGATCTTCAGATTTGTAAATTGGAATTACTCGTGCTCGTTTCCAGTCATTCACATAAATACCAGTGTCAAGTGATAAATTAAATATATATGTTAATGACGGGGCAATAATATCTGCAGAGAGTCTGAGAACATTGGCTGGAATTTTATCAAGGCCAGTAGATTTGTTTATCTTAAGGTTCATTAATGCCAGAAAAACGTTTTCTACATTAATACGATGGAAATGGAATATCGTATCTGTTGTGGGATTGGAATTATTGTAGCTATTCGTAGTGTGTTGAGTAAGAAGCTCTTCACCAGCTTCATGCTCTTCACTAGTTTCAGAAGCTAGGCTAGGGCCAATGTTAACAAAATATTCATTAAACTTTTCAGCGATTAATATA